CAACTTGCGATCGGAAACGGACGCTGGAAGATTCACATACACCGACATGTCGCCAAACCTAGCATACCAATCCTCACCCAATTTCTCCAGGAAACGAAAATACTCGCCAGAGTTCGGAAACAGTCGAGGCTACTCCGATGGCAATGTCGCAAAGCGAGCATTTGCGAAGCCACGCGCTTCGTCGGGAGCCTACTCTGCCGCTCAACTGTCGCCGCTACCGACCCAGTCTGCGTTGGACAACACGTACGCACAGAGCGCTGGGTATGATGTGTCTAAGCAGACAAACTACGGCTCGCAACTGTCCCAGAGAGCTCTTTACGCAGTACCGTCAGGTATTGGCATGAGCCACAGCGACTACAAACTGCCCCAGATGTCGCCGATGCCGCATTCTTATGCCTCCTACAACCCCCTCACTCATACCACTCGAAGCAACACCGCGACTGTTCTGCCCTCACCACCCGCACTTTCAACACCAGTTCTGGTCCGTGCAACACATCTCTCGCAAGGAGACGGTAGTGCTGGTTCGACTCAGCCTTTCAATCCGTATGCGATGGGTCCGAGCAAGGCGATATTGGAGATCGACGGCGATCTTGATAAGATGGGCGACAACTGGTCGACAGAGGAGTTGGACGCGAAGAGACGACTTGTCGAGTTCCAAAGATCGCAGCATGGCAGCAAGATAACGACTACTTTTGCGCCCACAACACTGGAAGCTCGACAGGGGCGTGGCATCTGCGTCAGCTGTATCTGGTGGAAAGAGAAGAATGAGTGCTTCATCACAAGCGTAGACACCATTTTCCTACTGGAACAACTCGTAAACGTTCGCTTTACCGTCGAGGAGAAGAACCGCATCCGTCGCAACCTCGAAGGCTTTCGCCCCCTCACAGTCTCCAAGGCGAGGGCGGATAGCGAACCATTCTTCAAAGTTATCATGGGTTTCCCCAATCCCAAGCCTCGTAATATTGAGAAGGACGTCAAGGTGTTCCCTTGGAAGATACTGTCGCATGCTCTAAAGAAGATCATCAGCAAATACGTACGTTCTCCGCAACTAGCTACTGAGAGCGAAGCTAACAAGACCAGTCTGCTAGTTATGCCTCGACAGCTGGCGTTGGGCATCTCTCCACTGCGACGACTTCGTACGCTCCAAGCACTGCCCTGCAGGCAACACTGAACGCTCATCGACACACATCACCTCAAACCCTGCCTACTTCGACTGCTTCAACGGCCTATACATCCGGCTTGACCTCGTCTAGTCTATCGCCCCATCAAAATGTGGCAGCAGGCTTCGAGGGATCAGCAGGACAAGGCATGCCGGTTGCCCAAAGGACACCTTCAGGCCAGGGCATGACTCTGTGGGGCACTACCACTCACCAGATATCACAATACCCGTCGCCTCTTTCTCATGGAGGACGAGGGTCCTGGGACTATGGATATCCCAATACTTCGGCTGCAACGGAAATGCCGCCAATCGCGCATGCGCTGCAAATGCCACGGCAGAACGGCTTGCCAGACTTCAGCCAAATGTCATCAACTCATGGCTACCATCAATACGGTGAAGATACAACGAGGGTGTAGGAGAGGCAAGATTGGGAGACAGAACTCCAAGGGTTACCGATACGACTACGCGTTGCGGGCTCTGATCTGCATCGGGTGATCAACCAATGTCCGCATGATCCATGCGGGCCTAACCCGATGGGGTGTTGCACCAATCGCTCTCCACACCACTCATCGCTAGATTCGCCTCGCGCATCCCGCACACCTTCAGACGTTCGCAGTTCTCTAATAATATCCGGTATCTGGTTTGGCGTTGAATACGGCGGTTTCGGCATTTGGACACTGGACGCATCATACCCCGGGGAGGCGGCGTTTACCACACTTTCGGTTTCATCATCGACTACACATAGAGGATCATCATTAACGGTACAAGCCATCTTACGTATACAACCCGATCGCGAATCCTGTCGATACAGGATGGTCAGCTTTGCATTACATTGGCGTTCATTCCACTCTTTCTACCCAATAATCTTTCCCATCTTCGCCTCTCGGAGGGTTCTTCCACGGAGCTCGAAGTCGATCGCTTTTCAAGGCAACATCCGCGCCAACCACAGACTCGAGCCCGTCCACACTACGTCCCCCATGTATCTCGATCCGCATCTCAAGGGAATGCGCAACGAGGCTTTTTCATTTCTCACATATACCCAAGGCTTGGTGTTCGCCTAGTCAATTCTTTCGTTTTCTTCAAACTCCAGAGATTCCCCATTTCTTTACCCATCCAACTGCACCGTATGTAGCGCAATGTATCTGTAACACACTAATTCTCGCCTACACGCATGCGATCCTTCTAAACATTTTCTCCGCAGCCTGGCCCGCACCCAACATGTCAAGTTATGCGAGCTCCGCCACAATAGAGGGCGCAGTCAACCTTTGGCCCCAATCCTGACCACTGCCTAACACTTGCCAAGGAGCTACAACTTCCGCGGCACCGGATGCGATATAGGCATCAGCTGAGCTTATCAGAGTAGGTGTTATGATCTCAGCATATCGCGCACGTTAACGAGGCGGAATGGGCGGTGGGCATACAAGGGCCCTCACAAATGACCAGTGGTTGTCCCGACGCCGAGGACCCGTGTCACACAAGATGTTCAGGCGATCAATCCTGGTCACGAAGTCACATGCCTTGATGAAGACTATCCCACGCTGAGTCCAGACCCTGATGGTTCATAGGGAGTCGTTAGCGACGGCGAATTATCGTCGTAACTAACCGTGCCGCATGCGTTCCATATGTTCGCATCACGAGAACATGTTGCTTGTATGTTTAGTACGACCAAAACGGCCCAGACCAGACTTCAACCCCCAAAAGGCAGAACATCTGGCCAAGGCGTAATATCAAATCCCTTCACCGTGAGATACGCCCGAGCAGATAGATCACGCTTACCACACATACTCCCATCAGATAAACCACAAGCCGCTTTTGGGCATCACCACGTGCATCTTCTCAGCAGAGCCCCAGGTTCAGCATGTCATACGCGTTCATCGGGGCAGACCGACTGTTCGGTGCATCTGATCCGTTCTGATCTGACGGAGACGAAAGCACGGTCACGGGGCGTATGTCAGGGATCAGCCCGAGGAGGGCCGGGTGCTGATCTCACGTTGGATCGCGTGGGATAACGCAATGCTTACTGCAGATCGCAGGCGGAAGGGCGCGACTTGCCCTACATTGGGTGAGATGGCTTTGTGCTCATGATGGGTTTGTCGTTTTGTCGCGAGTGCTCACGTCGCTCTGCCATGTCATGGTTTTTTGGAAGAACGAAGTTGATAGAGTCTTAGCTAGTCGTAAAATTGGCCGCCCGTTGTTTGTACCCTCACCTCTGTTAGGTGCAAGTATTGTGTGTATGAGACTTTGGGTGTCCAGACTGTTTGTCCAGACACTTACCAATACAACACTTCTTCAACTGAATCATCGGATCAAAGGACCACAGAACTTCAAAGTTCGCCAGCTCATCTCCTTCGTTCAGCACAAAAGGAAGCGTGATGTTGACTCTCTCCCTCGTCATCTCCACAGGCACATTCTCTTCATCAATCGTCAGCACCGAAGTGTCCAAATACTGCACCCCGAAGACCCCCAACCAGCTTTGCAGTTTGAGAAACGCCTGTAATTCTTGCAAAAAGATCTTGTGCTCCTTTATGTCGAAGTCCGAGATGCTGCGGTCATTTCCAGTCCAACTGAACTCGAACGGCGCGATTCCACTTTCGGTGAAACGCCATTGCGTTGGGACGACATCAGCCACGAGCTCTTTGCGAGCCGTATGGTCGTTCCAAGGTTGCGCAATGTTGTCGACATGGACGAGCTTCTCGGCCTCCTCAAGCTTGAAGTGGTTGTGGAGGAGAGTGAGGCCGAAGAGATCATGGACGCTGTGGGCAACGAACATGTCTCGGATTATCGTGCAAATGAAGTACTCTAGGTTCTGGCTCTCGTAGGTCTTATAGGCATCGTGGATGTCTGGGGCGGTGTTGAAGTGGTGGGAGGTGTATGGTTCGAATTCCATGTTTGCAAGGGTTTGCACGGAAGGCTTGGGAGGAGGTAGGATAGAAGTCAGGGTGAGCTGGACTGACGAGCAACTTACACGCAATCTCCACGGCATTTATATATGCTACTTTCGCGTTGTCGGAGGTGATACACAAGGAGGTTCGTGTCGCCAGCCGTCATGGGTGACGCATGAACAGTCTAGAAACAACTGATCGGTGCACTATTCAGGCTTTGCAAGATGCCTTCATCAAAGGCCGACTAATGAGAGATCTACGGCTAATTCTGATAGAGCCTGACGCTCTTATCGCAACACCACGACGCCGGATGTAGACATACCTGCGGCATCGCATATGTTTCCTTGGCACGCTTGACGGCGTCTGCGAATGAGAGATCATGCCTTAAGGCTCTTAATCGCATTCCAAACCCTTGTGACGGTATCATTGGTTTATTATCGCTGCAGGCGGCACGATGGCACCAGGCTGATGAATCTTCAGCCTGACCCCGCAAAAAGATCATTAGAGACCGTGATCGTAGACATTCAATAGGTTGTGCTGATTAGAAATGCATAGAATGCAGTAGTGTCAGTTAGACTCTCGCGCAAAATATAGCTGGCAGAGTGTAGGTATGGGAGTCCCAAACTCATTGGCAACAGCGATGATTCTCAGACCAATGCCAGTAGAGTAACGACCGTTCACAAGCACTGGACAGCGGACTACTGTTGATGTGTCACTTACAAGATGGGGCAGAAAGATAGCAGAATAACAATTGCAATTTTGAGGATACTAGTCTAAGTACATGTACACATTCGAGCTGGCTAACCAGAACGACTGCAAAGGGGGGCTCAAACGAGCTATAGACAAACGAAAGAAGCCGTAAGGGCTTGCTTTGAATATGAAGAGTCAAACACAACTTTTCCATCCAAATTTTCATGGTGATGGTAGCATCACACATAGGCTGCGATCATCGGCGCGGCTTAGTTCTTGCCGAGAAGGCCGCCGAGGTCACCGAGAGCATCAAGACCCATGTCGTTGCTGTCCTCGCTGTCCTCCTTGTCCTCCTCAGTGTCCTTCTCCTCGTATGAGTCCTCGACGGGGGAAGACTCGTAAGTGTCCTTGACGGGGGTGGGGGCAGACTCGTAAGAGCCGAAGGAAGGGGTGGGCTTCTCGTGGACCATGCTGGGCTTGGTGTACTCGTGGACCATGCTTGGAGTGGGGACGGCGCCGTAGGCCTTGCTGGGCTCAGCGTGCTCGTAGGCCTCCTTGCTGGGGGTGGGAACAGCGCCGTAGGCCTTGCTGGGCTCGGGGACATGCTCGTAGGCCTCCTTGCTGGGGGTGGGGACGGCGCCGTAGGCCTTGCTGGGCTCGGGAACATGCTCGTAGGCCATGGAAGGCTTAGGGGCGTGCTCGTAACCCTGGCTGGGCGTGGGCTTAGCCTCGTAGGCGGAGCTGGTGACTTCGGGCTTGGTCTCCTCGTAAGAGTCCTCGTCGTCCATGCCGAACAAGTCGCCGAGAGTCCTCTTGGAGAGAAGCTCGTCGTAAGACTCAAGCTCGTCAGTAGACTCTTCGGTCTCCTTGGGGATGGCCTCGTAGGACTCCTCCATCTCGGGCTTGAGCTCGTCGTAGCTCAAGTCCTCCTTGGAGGGAGTGACGTAGTAAGAAGGCTCCTTCTCCTCCTTCTCTTCCTCCTCAGGCTTCTCCTTCTCCTCCTCGTCCTTCGCGGGCTTGCCAAGAACGTCGTCGAACAAGGTGCGCTTCATGCCAGGGACCGCTGGAACAGAAGAGCCTAAGGCCTCTGTGACTGGGCAGGTAACTGTGTCTGGTCAGTGGGGAAAACGGAAGCGATGGCAGAATGCGACATACCACCGGAGCAGGCCTTGGAGTCATCCTCTTTGGCCAAAGGAAGAGCAGTGGCGAGCTGAGCAGCAGCGATGATAGCGAAGAACTTCATATTTGCGTTTGAATGAATTCGGTGGGAAAGATCGTAAGAATTATTAGAAGGTATTATTGTATAGTAGTGACTGTTGTGTGAATGAGATGTAATGAGCTGATGAGCAATAAGGTGGTATGAGAAGTAGCCTTATATGCTGGGTTGTCGGTGTCTGTCCTGATGCTTCTTCTCGTGCACGGTGTTGAAGTGTGCTTTTTTGGCATCGTCGTGACTGCACGCATGAAGATCGGATCTGTGCTAATCAAAGCTACCAGAAACATTCCAGAAGCATTGTTCAACGGCCACTTTACCAGCGCATCGCCATAGCGGTGAGAAGTCCGTCAGCTCGTGGGAAACATTTCGTCCATGCCTTGATCTAACCGCGCGACTGCATCATGATACCAATGCCGGACATGGAGCCGATCGGCGCATTACTGAGCAGACACCAGATTCGCAGACCACAGTACGCGCCATGGACTTGAACCATTGCTTCACTCGTCACATGAAACGGAGATGAGGCGATCCTTCGCCCGAAGCCAGCGCGTTCACGTTCTTTTGGGACAGACCATGCCGTGTACTTGTCAACATCTGCAACATCTGAAGATTATACTTGCAGCTCTTCTCAGAAGACAAACTGTCTCATCTCAAGACCGTGAGCAGTGATATGAAGCTGAATTGGAGTTGGGTATGCTTCAGGCGACACAGGTGCACGACCTCCAAAGCTGTTTGCACCAGGCTTCGGCGGTCAGCTAGCCTACATGCCTAGCTGGATATCGAGGAAGTGCTAACATGTGCGAAGATCTCGGGTATGTGGAGTGATAGGAACAACATCGTGAAGTCGGGGTGCAGGAAGAAGGATGGGAAAGAGCAAACATCGTTGGGGATGCAGGACCCACCTAGCGCCCGCTCGGTCCGGCCAAAGCGGGGTCAGGCGAGCACATCAATGGAGCGGTGGACTAGAACCACGACGCATCTCAACGGCATCGTTCATCACGTTGTTCATCTTCTAACATTTACGGATATGCTAGACTGCCGTGCGCTATGTCACCATTATCGATAGTATTGTCACGGGATCTACCGCGGCATCTTCCGCTACCAGCACCACCACCCAACCCGCGTTCAATCCCATCACTCCGTCCTCGTTATAGTACATTCCTCATCAGGAGCAGCCGTATCGTAACATTTGAATGGTCCCAGGATACCGAAACATGGATCTCTGCGTTGCTCACAGCTGAATTCCTTACAGCAACCGTCTTGAGGGAAGTCGCCGGGATCAGCAAGGCAATGTTCTGCTCATCATTAGCTAAATGCACGCACGCGCCTTCCATATTGCTTTCATGCCCGCAGTTGAACAGCAGAGGGATTGACAACGCACCACCGAGAGGTTGACAAGATGTTTGTCTAGACTCGTGCAGAGATAATGAAGCGGCCGATGACGCAAGTGCAAAGAGTAGGTGGATGGTGATCTTCATGGCAAACGAGGAAAGTTGGGTACTCATGGTAAAGCAAGTTTGAACGAGGCTGGAGCCGACTTCCATCTCTTTATTATACACACCATCATTGTTTCGCAAAGACTCCTACGCTTCCTACTTCCGCAAGCTCATCGCACTTTTCTTCTCGTTGTCTCAACATTTTAAGTGCGACTGAGACTAAAACACGAGAGTCGGCGACCGAACTGCTCACAGTTATCGTGAGATCAGCATGCAACTCGTGTTTCGAGACTACAGAATGTTCCGACACTTTTCTGGTCCGGGTCCCGGTGCGTGAGGCAAAGAAGAATGGCGATCCTGGTGTCGCGCGTTGCGCGCTAGGGTTGGCAGAACGAAAAAGCATTCCTCGCCACGCATGATGCTACTGTCAGCTTCGGGCCTTTCTTCTCAACGTCTGAATTCGAGCCTGGGGTTCTAGCTGCATGCCATGTGTCAATTGAAATATCACACTTTCCCTTTCAACGCAGTAGGACCTTCCGCCGCACTGTCTTCAACGCTAGCAGGTTGATTCGATTGACAACAGATCATGTCTAAGGCTTACACTCCAAGAAACGCGATAAACGAATGGAATTAGCCGGAAGCAGCGAAAACGAGCTTCTCTCGTACACCACCATCTTCTCAGCAACAGACACTCAGATGACCAACTAGTCCAGCCACAGCAGCACAAGCCGGCGATGTGTCTCACCACTACGGTGTATACAAAACGCCCTGTCCATTCGCCCACCTTCCACCGCAAAGTGCGCCGTATGAACAACAACCTCTAATTTCTCCGTGACTAACAACTCTCCGGCTTCCTCAACACTTTCGACACCATACACGCACCCATATGATGACGTACGTGATCCTACTGTGCAAGGCTAAATTGCCGTATCAAAGCTTCGATATCATTACACGCCGCGTAGTTCGCTGCATCCTCATATCAAAGCTTCTTGAGACTCACACACCCCGTGTCACGCTCACTCCGGCATCAAAGATACCCGTATCAATGCTTCATAACGCTCGTGCACCATCTATCTGCCTAATTCTCCCCAAGTCTTCTCTCTCACATACCCCTCGGTTGCTCAGTGCATCCATCATAGCTCCAAACTCTCCTGGTCATAGCACATATGCCAATCGGTCAAATGCCCATGCCCATCCCACCTCCTCTCACACACCATCCCCTTACAACATCCCTCCTGCGGGCGATCAGGAAGCGGCCTGCAATGTTCTAGAATACGATCAGCTACACCTTCATAGTATCAAGGAGACGTAATAAAGTGCACATATGTGAGAAGCGGAGAGAAGAGGAGGAAACATTGAGACTTACGCTTCACAATCCGACACTCCGGTTCTCCGAGAGTCTCGACTTGCACAAGTAACGGCTTTAGACACTCATGGATTGTCTGGTGCAGGTCACTCTCCCTACACATCAACCCCTTGCAGCATATCTGTGGCTCGTGGATGTCACGGTTGCACCGGTCTGCCATGTATGATTAGCCTTGACATGATGACGCGTTCACCATGTTGAAAAATTGTTGTACAGTCGTGGGTGAGAAACGAGCGGAAGCACGAGACGAGAGCGGGATGAATGTACCAAACCTGTTTAAGCACTTGGGTGCAAGGACCGACTGGTCATGCCAGTTATTATTGACGGTGATGGAGAGACAGGTTGCTGTCGTGATGAAGAGAAGCGCCAAGAAAGGGGCCTTCGTCGTCATTGCGGGCTGTATGTAGTGCTGGTGTAGAGATAGCAAGTATCAAGAAAGAGAGACGAGGATGTGTGCGGACAGATCTTCCATATCCTCATACTCATATATACATCTACAAAACGCCTTCGTGTCGTACAAAGAAAACACAACTAACAACGTTGTACCGCTCCACTTCGGCATAGTCCCGACTTCCCTTGCTACACGAACTTGTACTACGGTACGTACCTTCTTCTTTCAAGTAGTAGAGTCAGCCACCTTGGCGCATTACAACCAAGTCGACGAATGAGAATTGGATCCTGGCGAAGAGACTTGCTGTGTACGTGAACATCGAAATTAGTCTGCGGCCGTCATAGGTGCAGTATGACTAGCTTTTTACATCTACCGCTTTTGTGTCATATTGCGTACCTTCTTCTTTCAACTACTAGAGCCAGCCACTTCAACGTATTACGACCAAATCAGCGAATGAAAGTCAAATGCTAGTAAGAGGACTTGCTACGTGCGTCGACATCGTATTTACCCTACGCCGTCATAGGCGCAGTAGAAAGAGCTTTTCACATCTACCGTTCTCGTGCCACGACACGTATGCCCGGCCTCAAGTCCCTCGACTTCTGAGGGGTACGCGGGCGTACTTGGAATGTTGGACAAGGCGAACGGTGCCGGAAGCTCGGAGAAACAAGAGTATACGCAGCGAATGTCGTGGCACGATTTCGACATTTGTGATAGAGGTGAACATATCACATCAACCAATTTAAGAAATGTATAGAAGTGTATAAAGCGCAAAAAGGTGTCTTTTCATTATCTACATGACTCATGTTCCTTATCATCCCTATCATCCCTATCATCCATCCATCCATTCATCCATCTCATACTCATGCGAAGGGCGTAAAGGCGGTCATTACTGAGGAGGAGAGAGATCGGGGTCGCAACCGCAATACAAAAACGACGACGACAAGCAAACAAAAACAAAACAATCTAAAATCCTCCCACAGCCACCCCACCATCTTCAAAAAGGGAGGGTGCCAGTGCAGCAAGGGTATAATGCAACTTCCCATCTTCCACTTCCACTTCTGTCTTTTCGTCATCTTGTGCGTCCATCCGCAACGCAGCAATCTTCATACTCGAACTAAAGAAAAAGGTATCATCAAACAAGCGTCGTCATCTTCACGCTTATTTCTTACCCTTCTTCTTATTCTTCTTCTTGTTCTTCCCTGAGCTAGGTGTGGCCTCGCCGTTCGCGTCACCCTCTTCCTCTTCGGCTTGGTTGCCAGGCGTGGTAGGTGTAGTAGGTGTGCTTGGCTCTTCAGCTTCCTTGGGAGCTTCAGTCTCGGCGGCACCGTCGACGGCAGGAACGTCAGCAACGGCTTCGGGCTCTACCTTGGCTTCGGCGACGGGCTCGGCAACGGGCTCGGTGGCGACTTGCTCAGGAGCGGGCTCGACGGCGGGTGCGACGGATTCCTTGGATTCGGCCTTGGAAGAGATCTCAGCGTTGGCCTTCTTGAGTTCCTCTTGCTCAGCCTGAGCCTTCTCGAGTTGCTCCTTAGCGCTGGCGAGTTCCGTCTTGATGTCGTCACGCTCCTTCTTCGCGGCTTCGGCATCAGATGTCAGGGCGCTGGTCTTCTCCTCTTGCTCCTTCAGGGTAGCCTGGAGGGACTCGAGGGACTTCTTAGCGTCGGCAGCTTCGGTCTTGGAGGTCTCAAGGTCCTTGGTCGCGGTCTCGGAGGCAGCGGTGGCCTCGTCGAGCTTGGCCTGGAGGGCGGTGAGTTCAGACTCCTTGGCCTTGGCGGCCTCGACGGTAGACTCGAGCTCAGCGATCTTAGCATCGTTGGCCTTGATCTTCTCCTCA